ATATATTAAAACTATGAAATACCAATAAATGTGTTATTTTCTTGAAGTAAACTTTCTTTAGAGTAGTTTGAGCTTCATACGACTATCGTAAGTCGAATAAATCTGTAGTTATAACATTTTCCGTAAAACCTTGCAAGTTTGATTTGTTTCGCCGCCATTTTCCAAGATGGCGGATTTTGCTGAAGTGGGATTTTTTGGGAATTCTCAGGAAATGTTAAGGAGTGTGTCCCAAACACATTCCAGAAGAGTTTACCTTTGAACTAATTTGTTCTAGGTTAAGGCCTTTTTTTGCATAACTGTCCTGTACTATAATCATTAAATCACTATTATTAGACAGTTTTAAGGGAATATTTTTGTGTAAATCTTGCTAGGTAAGCGAAAATTAGCTTAGTCTGCAGGTTTACTGCGGCGGGAGTAGGTTATTTTATTATAAGATTGAATTTGTCTGTTGAAATGACATATTATGGAAGTACGTTGTTCATACAATTAAAATTTTTATAGTATTACATTTCATATATCATTCGTTAGGTAGTGTTAATTTCCCCATTATGTGTAATTTTAATATTTAATTCCCTTATTAAATGTTCCCTACACTTAATTTGTCCTCACATATTTGTAATTTGTAAATAAACCTAATGTTGACAAATATTCTTTTCAAGCCAGCACAATACCAACTCCCAAATATAAGAGCCCCCATAATTATTTTAAGAACCCCTGAACATCTTAGTAATAATCCTACAGTATATTAATTACTAGCAGAGTACCCGTCCTTCTTACGGGGCTGGCGTATAAGTATGAAATGCTTATTGCAGTTATACTCGTAAATAATATACTACAGTATTTCGCCAATTCGGTAAATTCCGAATAGGTAGGCCTAAATATAATAACAGTTAAAGCAAAGTTGGAGAGGTTAAATTATAATTTATTTTTTACATTTTAAATTGACATGTTTGCTTTAATATTACGGTTTAAACTTCCGCGAGGGCCACGTACATATCCTAATCATGTACTTTTCACTGCTTACGCTTCTTCGAAACTGACCAAAGTATACATTTCATTATCTAAATCATCGTATAACATCATAGTAGCCACTAGTAATCTCTCCCGTGAACTTATTTACGCACCAACCATGTGTATTGTAGGCCTACGCAGTCTAGGAAACCACTCACGGCAGCTGCGTTTTGGGACCTGGACAAAAGCACAGAAAACGTACTACTATAACCGGTTTACGACTTCGATCAGAAGGTGCAGCGTTTCCCATTTCGTTCGATGTTTGGATTTAACTTAACCTAAAAAAAATGATTGAAAGACTAACTATTTATATTATTTGTAGGGAAAATATAATGTGTAACACGAGTGCAAACTACCTCTGCCGCACTCGATAAACTTTCAACACTCGCCCACGGAACATGCGTAAACATTTCTCTCGTGTGCAGCAATGCGCCACTTCGCCCACTAGTTACACAAATAGGAATGATAATAAGCCTATAAAATGATCTATCATCATGCGAAATTTCAAACCCAATTCGAGTCATTTCTTGATTGAGTCCCAAACAAATAACGAACACACACACTTACAGCTTTATAATATTAGTACAGTATATAATGATGTTTCGATTGCCAATGGACTAATGCTGCCCAGGTTCTTTAATAAAGTCCTATAACAAGTATAGTTGGTTTTTTTAGCTAGAAGCAGTTAAGGTGTGGTGGAATATCTTTGAAGATGAACCTATTTGGCAGTAGTGTGATCATGTGTTCAGACCTGTAAAATTTTGAGGTTAAATAAAAACAAACAAACTGACACAATAATTCTTGGAATTGACAATAGTTAAATATACTTTAAACTTACTCTAGCCTACTTTTATATAACTACTTGGCAATATATAGAATATTTACTGTGAAATAGAGACGTGATTCCTAATTCCAAATCAGCTAATGAATAAGTTGATACTTAATTATTTCCTCCAAATTATAGGTGATGGTTGCTTTGAGAATAGTTAATTATATGAGTTAGTATTAAAATATTGGATCTTCTTGCATAAGTTAATTAATTTCGATCATTATAATAATAGAATAATATGGTTGCTGTGACTGGGACACACATAAAATAACCATTGGGACATACAGTAATGATGATTTACGTCTAGTTTTGAAATATCTTAACATCTAAACATAGACTCGCCTTTTGGGTTTCATGTTAGAGATCAGAATTAAATACTCTTGAGATGACGAGATGAACCTTTATAGACTCACGTTTTGACCCATTTAAATTATAATTAACAGCTAATTGTATTGCTGATAATTCATTAATGCAATCACTAATCAAATAAGTTCACCTCATACAAACAGGATAACATTATACAATAGGCCAAGGAAGCAAGATTCGAGTTTGGTTTATAAAATGCAGTAGCCTAAAAACAGATTTTTTTTCTTATAAATTAAACAATGAAATATACTAAATCATTTAATTTGATCTTAAATGGCAATTCTTTCGTAAGTAATACAAACCGGCCCCTAAATGCTTAATTATTGATTGCCAACATGCCAGTTTGTTTGTTTTGATTTAACCTCAAAATTTGACACGTATAAACATATGATCGCACTACAGCTAAATAGGTTCATCTTCAAAGACATTCCACCACACATTAACTGCTTCTAGCTAAAAAATCCAACTGTAGGTAAGAATATTTTTGTATATATACGCCTCATAGGCTACACATATATTTTTAAAATTATATAACAAAAAAAATTTTCTATAATTTTAGCATTAGTATTAACCGTCAAACGCCAATCAATAGATACTTTCTTGGAAGCTCTGTTTTCTGTTTAGAAACTACTTTGCATCTACTTGTAGTGCATACAACACACGGCCACGCTCTCGTGTTGTTCTCCTCTCGCCACAGCTCACATTCACTTCACTCTCCTCACCCTCTCTCTCCTTCTCCCACCCCTCTTTACTCGACCACCCCTTTCTCCCAGCGAAATACCCGGTATAGTACTGTTGGGGAGAATAGGCTTATGTCAGGTAGTCTTCTCCACTCGCCTCGACACTCTAATGACCCCTTAATTTACGAGTTCGTTAAGCCGGGTCGCCAGCGCACCTACACTCACTCATAACACCTATTGTTAATTAAATACATTTACCTGAAAACTAATCCAGACAAATGGAAATTCGCTTAGTTGGCAGGTTTGCTGCAGCGGGGGTATTTTAGGTATATATCAGCCTAACATATGCCGCGACAATGCAAAAGCAATACGATGCGTTGCGCTTTTGCCCACTCTCACCCTTAGTTTCCTTGAACGCAACCACTGCTGGCGGCTCGGGTAGCGTAAGTGTAGCGGCGCTGCCGATCCAGTAGTTATATATCGATGGATCAGCATCGTATGTGTTATTAAATTAAGAAGCCATAAAAATACAGTAAAAGAAAAATATCCTGTCAGACATAAGCTTGACAAAGGTTTCACATCCGGTCAGAGTAATGCTACGAGTCTTAGTAAATCGTGTGAGTTTCTAAATGTGTAGCCTTGCCCTTCAGTGTTTTTGCCCTTCAGTGTTTAAAATCATGTGTTAGCTGCGTCGGGCGTACCAACTACAATTTAGCAACTGTAAAAGTCTAAATTGTTTTAAATTTTGTTTCATTTACATATTATTAAAAAATAATTTTATTTTTATAAACGGGGTGTGCAGTAATCTGATGCACATGTTAATTCCTGTTTTTGTTGTCCAAAAAGGCCGTAGCAAGCTGGAATCTTTGTAATCGAGTACGAAAAATAGCCTTTCTAAAGGCTACCACTTGTTGGATGTTATATAAATGTTAGGTGGACATTTTTCATAGATGTTATGTTATAACATCTTAATAATAACCTGTATATATTTTTGGGACCTCCATCATGGATAATCCGAATAAAGTATTTTTCTAGTAATTTAGCTTGAGCCCAGAGGTTTTCGGGTTTGAATCCTACCAGTCGCTGATCGTTTCATTTCCGGTCAGGGTAATAATTTGATTTTTAGTATGGTGGGAAGTTAACTCGTCTAGTGCAAGGAGCCTGAGGTTGCGGGTTCAAATCCTACCAGTCACTAATGGTTTCATTTCCGGTTCGGGTAATATTTTGATTGTTAGTGTGTTGTAGAAGTGTTATTTAGTGTGTCATTTATGTCTAGCTAAGCTACCTAGAGCAGTAGTCGTAGGTAAAGCATATGGAAAAATGGATCCTAAAATTCATATAGAAGTAAATAAATATAAAATCTATATATATAAAGCTCAAATACCACTGACTCATTCATTCATTCACTCACTCATCACAAAATCTCAGAAACCAAACCATAAGACCTAGGAACCTGAAACTTGGCAGGCATCTTCCTTTTGGGTAGTAGATGCTCACTAAGAAAGGATTTTACCCTCCCACCTTTGGGCTCCGCCCCAGTGGCTCTGGAGTTTCCCATGTTAACCTTATGAGAAATGGAATTAATGAATCTTAACAGCTGTTTCAATTAAACAAGTTGGTTCTGTTCTATGATGTTCAATAGCATTAAAGTTACAAGGATTACCAACAGGGTGCAGCACTATTATTTCTTTTACATTTATGACAACAGCTAATTTGCAACCAAAAGGTGAGTGAGCGTAGCGAACGAACCTCAACCAGGACGTGATTGAGCCATGCGAACGAGATCATCTTGAAAATTAAGAAGTTAAACGGGACAAAGCCCGCGGGTTACAGCTAGTAACCGTATATAATTACGATAGCAAGGGTCAGGATGTATATTTCTCCGGTGGAAATAGTGATGCAAAATTTAAGATCAACTTATTGTACCATGATAACCACTATAATTTAATTATTAAATTACAAACTTAACAGCCGCTTTTGTTTATTCCACCATTTTCCTCTTCACAAGGAGGTGAGATGGTATGACAAGATGGGCAGCTATTTGAGCAACGGGGCTCACCTTTGTGGTCATAGGGTTATTACAACAGGAAATTTGTGTAGAGGAAGTGAAATGGTTGGAAATGATGGCAACATATTTTATTCATTAAAAAAATTAAAATAAACTTAAACTGTACAAGATAGTTAACGGAAAATGACTAGAGGATTAAATAGAAAGTTTAATACTGTCTTGAGGCCCGAGTAGACATCACGAAGAGAGAACGCCAGTAGATGTGTTTTGCTGGTTGTAGAGAGGGAGGAGTCATGGCATGAGAGACATCCAAGTTGTATCAGAGTCACTTGTGGATGTGTACGAGACAGCAGACCAGAGTCGTCTCCACTCAGCAGACCAGAGAACCACAGACGATCCCCAGGACTCAGAGCTCTGGTGAAGTTGAGGAAGGTGTGATCTGCAACTAGAGTCACCTGGGAGTCTCCCCGGCGCCACAGGGCAGCCGTGCTCATGGATATGTCCACTTCGAGCTCATACCTGTAACACAAAAAGGTCAGCTGTGCTCAGATGGTTTCCCACAACCCTAGAAACATACCAACCCTTCTTATCATCACCATCAAAGCATTCATTCCAACATCTGTTATCATCTCCCACGGTCATAGCAATAACTGCAATGATCAGGGGTCACTCAAAAATCGTGCTAGTGGTGCACAATTAAGTACAGGATATGAAATAAGATGACATGTGCAAAAAAATACTTTGGCAAGCCATTTAAGGTTGGTATACCAACAAGAGAAGATTGGCTTGGGGGAAAAGAGGGTCCATCCTGTCCTCGCGAGTGTTGTGGACTGCTACACTGATGGGTCCAAGGTAAGAGGGCAATGGTGCGGGTGTGCTGTGGGAATAGGAAGAAACTGGCATCAGCCTTTTTATGGAAGTGTACCCAACAGTTTTACAAGCAGAGGTCACCGCAATTTTGGTTTGTGCCCACGAGAATCTAAGTAAGGAAATCACAGACAAAAGAATCTGTTTCTACACTGATGGTCAGGCAACTTTGAAAGATCTACTCTCAAACAAATACAACTCCAAGCTTGTCCGAGATTGCCTTGCCTCCTTGTGAAATGAGATTGATTGTCCAAGGAGAAATGATCTGAAACTTTGTTGGATGCCTGATCACTCTGGCTTAGAAGGTAACAAGGATGCTGAGAGACTGGCAAATGCTACTTTAGTGGCAACCAGGGCTGGATCTACAAAATATGGGCCCCCCTGCAAAAGTCCTCCGAGGGCCCCTAGAGCTGGCATCAATAGGAGGGAGGCCTTATTTGTGGGAGGGTGGCCGAATGTTTAAAATATAAGTAGCTGAAACTGAATGTTAAAGCTTTTTTTAAAGATAAAATATTGATCGTGTTTGTAAAAAAAACATTTTTGTTAGAACGTGTGATTTTTTAAATTTATAAACTTAAAAGAAAAAACAGCAAACTTCAAATAAAGCTTTCTTATTCTTATGTCAATAGGATTTCTTAGCCTTTCAACAAGCTTTACAAATTATAAAATACATAATGTACAAAAAAAGTTAAAGGTTTTTACATAAAGAATTTCAAGCATAAATAATAAGGTAAAGTAATAAACAAACAACTCAATTTAAACTTAGTTTATTTTTTACACTATATTTTTAAGATATATAGGCCTACATTCAAATCATGGTCCCAGAGGGTGGGGCAGGGGGGCCAGAGCCCCGGCCCGGTCAAATGTAAAATCTTTTCTGTACATGGTTTTCCAGTTCACATAGTAATTTTTGAGTGGAATAAAGTTGCAACTATGAGCAAGAGAATTAATCAAACCATCCTGCATTTAGATATATTGTTAAATGTTTAACAAAATGGCACGGAGGCGGCTAGACACTAAATCGGGAAAATAGGGGGCCTGGGATTGCTCAGCCCAAGGGCCTGTAACGGCTCTCGCCGGCCCTGAGGTCATTAGATAACGTTACATATATTAGTATAAGTCCCACCTGTACTACAGACTTATTGCTCAGCTCAACTGATAGTTGATATCCGCGTCAATCGGACTGTAGTGGATCTATGAAGCGCGCACTGCAGCTGATAAGCTGATTGGACTAAACTGAGCATACAGACTGACTGCCTGAAAGTGACAATATTAAACCACAGGTTAAACTGTCTACGGCGAGGTCCCGAGTTGTTGACGAGTAAAATCAGTAGGTGTAAATTTACTTAATAATTTTAACTTTAGTTTTGATATTGACAATATTTGTCTGTCAAAACTAAACTTACCGTCCTATTCAACTATGTTTAAAAAAATAATTTTAAATTTTATGAGAATCAGACAAACAATTTATCTGATTACCAGACATTGGCACGGACATTGTCTAAATACCACTAATTTATTACTACTCTAAAATACCATTATTATATCCTATGTCAAAATAATCAAAGTTCTCCGGTATCCCATCTTAGGCTAGGATTATTCTAGGACGCTGGCGTCCGGGATGCTGGCGTCCGAGAGGCTAGCGTCCCACTTTGAGCCGAAAATGACGTGATTTGTGTTGGAATGCTAGCCTCTTGGACTGCCATTTTATTATTTCAATGTTTTGTCACTTTTTGTTTATATCTATTTAAAAAAAATATTAGGTTAAACAAGTACCCAGATTTGCTGGGTAAACCCCGTTAAACCCCGTTCCCATGGTCCAATCATGCTGGTTCGCAAACTCATTCAAATTTTACCTGCCTTACACCTTCAAACCAAATTTTATCAAAATCGGACAAAAATTACTCAAGTTATTGTCCGGACGGACACATATATAAAAATTTAAACGAATGGTGTTTTTGGCCTCTGGGGACATCAAAATGGAAAAGTAAATCGGTCCCGAGCCTAGGTCTTACCATGAGACCTACCTACAGTAATAGCTACTTCCCTATAGGGAAATAGCTTTTGGTGGTCGTGCAAACTTAGTGCATTTATTTTTTGTGTCCCCAAAAAATGAGGGATTATGGGCTCAACTGGAGATTACTCTATATATAAGATATTATATACCTATATATAAGATATTATATTACCTTTAAACGTTACCAATTTAATTTTAAACAGTATGATTTAAATTGGCATTCTGTTAATTATGTTTTTTTTTTACCAGCCCTTATGACAGTGTGTGTCTAGATCTGGAACCGGATCCGGTACCAACATTTTCTTGGATCCGCCCATCACTAATAATTATTTGTTTTTAAGCTAATTAAAATTGTCTAGAGAAATATGACAAAACCCCTTTTTTACCCCATAAAACCCCGTTCCCAAGGTCCGTTAATGATGGTGGTTCGCGAAGTCATTCAAGTTTATCCCGCCCTTCACCTTTAAGCCAAATTTCATCAAAATTGGACAAAAATTACTCAAGTTATCGCGTTTTTGGACATATATTTAATATTTAAATCTATATAAACGGATGGTGTTTTTCCCATCTGGGGACATCAAATTGAAAAAGTAGATCGGTCCAGGGTCCAGGTCTTACCATACGACCTATGCTAATAGCGTATTCCCTATATTCGCGCACATGTTTAAAGAGAGAGTCTTGGAAGCTTCCTAGCCACCTAGTATAATGCGCCACATTTGAACCAATGCCCCACAACCGATTTTGTGCATCACGGGAGGCAAAAAGTCACCGGACGCTTGAATTTCAGCCTCCCAGCCGGGAAGTAAAAACTTGAGCGTCCAGTGGTTTTTTTGGCATCCGACGCTGGCATCCCTAGTATAATCGCACCAATTTGATTTAATGCCCATCCCGCTAGTATAATCCTAGCCTTACGCCACCATCTCATGATGTAAAATCTCATTTTAAGTTGCATATTTAGTTTACTGGCCTCTGTAAAAGTTAAAATCGATATATTACAACCTATTTCTAAAGGTATTTTTTTTTACTTTTCCCTCCATGGAGCGTATTTTGGTGACTTCCATCTTATGACTTTAAATTAGATACAATCATATTTTAAGTTGTATTTTTGGTTTTGCCACTTGGATATACCACACCCTATATCAAAAGGTAAGTTTTATTTTAGTTTTTCCTCCATGGAACGTATTTTGGCGGCCATTTTTTGGGTTCAAATAACATTTTGAGTAGCATATTTGGTTTCCACACCCTTGTAAACATTAAAATAGATAAAAAACACCCTATATCTAGCAAAAATAATGTTTTTAAAAAATTTTTCCTAGTTTTGAGCAATTATTATTTTAATTTAAATAATATTAGATATTTCCCCAAATCAGATTTTGGTAGACTTTTTTTGTGCTGTGTGAAACCAAAATCCAATGCTATGATTTTCGTAAACAAATCAAACTGCGATTTTAACAGATCTTCATCAACCTCCAGGACAAAAGTTCTGATGGTGATTATGACACCGTTGAGGAAGTTAAATACCAGCAGAACAGTACTAGGTGTTCTACGTTGACTGAAAATATCTTTATACCTGTCCCAGTTGGCTAGATGGCATTTGTCTATTAGACCTGAGGGTAGAGAGCAGTACTGATCCTCCTCACAAGCGTGGTATGGCAGTCCTAGCAGACAGGTCAGTCCACTCCTCATACCCTGCAACAAATGTCAATGAATCATAGCAGAAAGTCTGCGAACAAAGCAAAGTTAAGTTACATCCTTGAGTTCTATTCAAAATTATTGTAAAAAGTTAAAAAGTAGGGAAATTTCGGGAACTTTTCGGGAAAAAATAATCCCGATTTTCGGGACGGGATTACATTTAATTCGGGAATTTTTCAAGACGAGATTTGATCCGATAGTCGGTGATTTTACCGCTTAGCGAGTGCCGATGACGCCGATATCGCGAGAGATGTTCCCGATAGTTCCGCGAACGCAGGAGGCGTAATAACGACGATCACCTCGTGACCGCGGAGTCAAACTGCGAGTCATACCGACAATAACGCCATGACCGCCTAGTCATACCAACGATCACGCCTTGACCTCCGAGTCATACCGACGTTGGCGAAGTAACCACGGAGTTATACCGACGATCATGACGTGACCGTGAGTCATACTGACGATCATGCCGTGACTGTGAGTCATACTGACGATCATGCTGTGATCGTGAGTAATAACGACGATCACCTCGTGGCCGTGGAGTCATACCGTGGATTGCGAAGTAACCGCGGAGTCTGAACCGCGAGTCATACCGACAATCATGCCGTGACGAGTCATACCGACCATCGCAAGGTTCCCGCGGAGTTATACCGACGATCACGCCATGACCGCAGAGTCATTTCGATGATCGTGCCGTAACCGCGGAGTCATACTGACAAAACCGCGAGTCATACCGACGATTGTGCCGTGACCGCGAATCATACCGACGATCACCCCGTGACCACGGAGTCATACCGACGATCGCAAAGTAACCGCGGAGTCATACCGATGATCACGCCGTGACAGCGGAGTTATACCGACGACCACGCTGTGACTGCGAGTCATTTTGACGTTCGCACCGTGGCTGCGAGTCATTTTGACCGTGAGTCACAAGTTTCTATACCTGTAAATTTTTACCCATTTTTCTGTTTCATAGATCAGTGCCACAAATTGTAAAAATTGATTTTGTTTGTCTTGTTTGGTAACTCAATAGGCCTACTTTCTTTTTATGCAGAGGAAAAAATCCCGTCCCGTCCCGTCCTGAACTAAAAATTCAATCCCGTTCATCCCTATTAAAAAGGGAGTACAATAAGGGACATGCCGATTCCGATTCTCGATACCTTCGATACCAGTGGTATCGAAGAATCGCCGATACTCGATACTTTGCTTCATTTTACTCAATACCGATTCTGAAAAGTGAGGTTAATTATGATGCTAAACTCAACCGACATTGAAGGTTGTAAAGAGTGGCACAACATAGTTTATTTGGAATACTCTGTTCGTAATAGTTTAATGATCCAAAAAAGGTTGCCATTGCATTTTACGAGTGCCATTGCACTTCACAACAAATGACGTATTGTGTTTAGTGATGGGAACAACTGATTGAAAACAACCGATTCAATCGATTGTTGGAAAAGAACTGACTAGTCGGTTTTTCTCCCAGATATGATTGAAACTAGTCACTTCATATTCCCGGTCCTACGGTGACTGGAACCAGTCAACCAATCGTTGGAATAACTGGAAACAGTCAAACGTCGGTGATTGAAACTAGTTGTAAGAACCATACTCACTGTTGTTGAGACTGACTGGTAAATGAAAACTTTTGTAGATAAACTATCGTACCGTAGGCCTACACAAATTGTGAACAGTGTTTAGGTATAATTAAAATAATGTAATTATGTGTATTTTTTTATGTCTTTAAAAATGTTTAATTTCCAAGTCACTGTTTTTTAAAGTCCTGTACTCATTATTTAGATGTAAATGACTTATTCAACATCTGCTTTAAAAACCATAACCAGGTAATAAACAAATAGAAATATTTGTTTTACTGAGTTTGTTAGGAATATTGTTGTTACTGGACTACTGAATAATTTATAACTTGTCCTGTATAAATTAAATGTTATAAAGTAATCTTATATATTTAAAAAATTTGGTTTTTCTTTTCCGAGTTCGTTAGCTTCTTCTACCCGACCGATTTTCATGATTGAGGTCTCGAATTGAAGGTATGCACGCACAGATTTGCCATCAAGCATCGGCATAAATGTATCTATAATCCCACTCGGCATATACGTAAACGAAATTTGCTCCCCAAGTATTTCTTATGGGAGTTATATTTGGTTTTACTTTGCCGAGTTCGTTTAGCTCTTCAACCAGACCGATTTTCATGATCAATGTCTCGAATTAAAGGTATGCACGTACAGATTTGCCATCAAGTATCGACATAAATGTATCTATAATCCCACTCGGTGTATATGTAAACGAACTTTGCTCCCCATGTATTTCTTAAGGGAGCTAAATTTGGTTTTTCTTTGCCAATTCGTTTGGCTCTTCTATCAGACCGATTTTCATGATTGAGATCTCGAATTGAAGGTATGCACGTACAGATTTGCCATCAAGCATTGGCATATATTTATCTATAATCCCACTCCGCTTATCCGTCAAAAAAATTTGCTCCCCATGTATTTCTTATGGGACTTAATTTTGGTTTATCTTTTCCGAGTGCCTTTGGTTCTTCTACCCAAACGATTTTAATGATTGAGGTCTTAAACTGAAGGCATACACGCAAAGATTTCACATCAAGCATCGGCCATCGAAGTAAATGCATCGGCATAAATTTACCTACTGTATTATTTGACCGAAAATCATAATTTGATTCATTTTTTAAGTCTTACTTCAATTTAAGATGTGTTTAACCAATTATAATTATACAATACAATATATTTTGGTCTAAGGACTTTCATTGAAATACCTGCATTCATTTAAGTTACTGTATTAGTCATTCAAATCGGACGAGTTTCAAGCAAACGCAAGGAGAAAACCCAACATAAACATTATTTTTCGTAAGATTTTTCTAGGACTAAAAATCAATACCTCCAGTATTGTTCATGTATGTTTTAGACTCAAAATAATCAGTATTTATAGGCTTTAAATTGAGCTACTGATCGTTTGAAACAGTAAGATATTGTATTACTTATCAAAAATCATAAATTTGATTAGTTCTTGGATATTATTATTTTAGTTTAACGCTGCGGTGCAGCATGGGTCCTCTAGTCTTATTTATTTTAAAAAAACTTGGTTTTTCTTTTCTGACTACGTTTGGCTCTTCTACCAAACCAATTTTTATGATTGAGGTCTCAAATTGAAGGTATACACGCACAGATTTGCCATCAAGCTTCGGCATATAATTATCTATAGTATCACTCGGTTAATACGTAAACGAAATTTGCTCCCCATGTATTTCTTATGGGAGTTAAATTTGGTTTCTCTTTGCCGAGTTCGTTTGGCTCGTCTACCAGACCGATTTTCATGATTGAGGTCTCAAATTTAAGTTATGCACGTACAGATCTGCCATCGAGCGTGGGCATATATTTATCTATAATCCCACTCGGTGTATACATAAACGAAATTTGCTCTCCATGTATTTCTTATGGAAGTTAAATTTGGTTTTTCTTTGCCAAGTTCGTTTGGCTCTTCTACCCGACCGATTTTCATGTTTGAGGTCTCCAATTGAAGGTATGCACATACAGATTTGCCATCAAGCGTGGGCATATATTTATCTATAATCCCACTCGGTGTATACATAAACGAAATTTGCTCCCCATGTATTTCTTATGGAAGTTAAATTTGGTTTATCTTTGCCGAGTTTGTTTGGCTCTTCTACCCGACCGATTTTCATGATTGAGGTCTCAAATTTAAGTTATGCACGTACAGATCTGCCATCGAGCGTGGCCATATATTTATCTATAATCCCACTCAGTGTAAACATAAACGATACTTGCTCCCCATGTATTTCTTATGGAAGTTAAATTTGGTTTTCTTTGCAGAGTTTTTTTGGCTCTTCTACCCGACCGATTTTTATGATTGAGGTCTCAAATTGAAGGCATGCACGCCAAGTTTTCTCATTAAGTATCGGCAAATATTTACCTACTGTATTACTCTACTAAAACACATAATTTGACTCATTTTCTAATTCTTACTTCAATTTAAGATGTACCTTCACCAGTTATAATTTTATAATCCTATATATTTTAGTCTAAGAACATTCAGTGAAATACTGGCTTTCATCTAAGCTATTATTTATTCAAATCGTACGAGTTTCAAGCAAACGCAAGGTGAAAAACCAACATAAAATGATTTTTAATAAGGTTTTTATTTAATTAAAAATAATAGCTCCAGTATTGGTAATGTTTTTCTATGTTTTTTTTTCTCATCAATTTGATTATTTCTCGGATATTATATTTGTTTTAACGCTGAAGAGCAGCACGGGTCCTATAGACTCAAAATAATCAGTAAATTATAGGCTTTAATTTGAGATATTGATCATTTGAATCAGTTAAGCTCAAGATACTGTATTACTCAATCAAAAATCATAAATTTAATTATTTCTCGGATATTATATTTTTTTTCAAGCCGCAGAGCAGCATGGGTCCTCTAGTACATATAAAATGTCAACACAAAAGACAAAAAACAATAAATCAACAACAAAGACTCAAACGTTTCCAGTAATAATGTGATAGATTTTTCCCTAGCAATGACTGAAACCATTGCTCTGATTGAACACCACCAGTTGTAGTGGAATTCACTCGGTTTTTCATTCAACTGAAAAAACCAGTCGATTGTTTTTTTTCCTGTTTGTTGTCCCATCACTAGTTGTGTTCAACTGACTAACAAGAACAGAACTCTAGTTGCCGCCATGTTGTCAGATTGAGTGCAATGTTGCCAGATGGTACAAGCGTTGAATATATAAATATAATACACATAAAGTTATTTAGTCAATGGTACTAATATAATTCACGTTTTCTAACTTGTGATAGGGTTTATGAACATTACATTAGCAGCTTAAGAGCTTGATAACTTACTGATCATCTATAAGTATAAAAGACGATGTTTGTATATTTGTTTGGCAGTGATAAACTCAGACACCGCTGAACCGATTGCCACAAAACTTGGTACATACGTGT